GTATGTTCTTTCACATGCCAATATACAATGAATCTGTTTTTTAAGTAGTGCATCTATAAATAAAGTAATATGTTATTTTTATGTTGTGCAGCTACTAGTGTAACTCTTCACTGAAGAACTTGAGAAAAACTTTCTGATATGTAATTAAAACACAGGATTCCATAGACACATGCTTTTGCATATACTATACAGTTTGTATAATATAAATTTGCATATCATATACACATTACTACTATTATGCATGGAAATTAAGGTATGGGGTATTTATATTAAAGATTAAAGATTAAAAATTGTATTTCTTTGCATAGTTTGAGGAATGGTATTATGTACCCCAAATAACTCTTTTTGCTCTTTACCTATCTCTCATTTACTCTTACCTCACCCAAGGTACTTGTGCATGGGGGTCAACCACACCAAATCACCTTAAACCTTTAATAACCCAACAAAAAGCTACAGTGCAGTAGATTACCAGCTCCTGCACTAGACAGCACACTCCACCACTGTTTAAGAGCCTTAACTTGCTTAATATATAAAACATCCACATTATTATTGTGCCTACTACATACACAGAGCATTAAACTCAAATATTAACCCTCCTCTCAAACCCTTCCTTGATAACTACAACAGAACACACAGGCATAATACAAGGCACAAATCACTCTTCGATATCCCTCATTCAAACTTATAATTGTTTCAATTTTATTGTTTTAATTTGTGCTAAATTGTAATACTTCATATTGTAAATTGTGCTTGATGATTGTTCAACTATTTAATCATTACTTCAAACTTAAAATTCTTTCAACTTCATTGTTTTCAATTGTGCTATTTTGCAATACTGTATTCTTGTATTTACTATATCAAAACTGTAATTATTCTCTACCAAACTTACTAAAGCCATATAGCATGAACTAGTTGAATATTCAGTTTTCTTGTATTCACTGTAACTCACCTAATGACCACATGTACAATTACAGCACTGTTATTGCCTTATTTGTCTTAAGTTAGTTTTAAGTACAGGAAGGCCCCACTTATACGGCTGGTTAGGTTCCAGGCTACCGCCGTAAAGTGGAACACCCTTTTTTTCCACTTACAAATGCATACAAACACTAGATAACAAGTTTACACTATCATATATTAAGTTAGCAATAGAACCAGGCATCAAAAAACAATAAAAAAGTACAATACACACATAGTGCACTCATTACTTACCTTAAAATATTTATAGTCTTAATCTAAGGTGAGACAAGTAGTATTTATTGTAAGAAATCAAGTGTGGTATGTATGGTAGTCAGCCAGGCTACCATACCAGGCCACCCCACCCACACATACAATTCTATGATATTTAAGCATCCCAGAGTGATAAAATGTATATACAGTTCACTCATTACTTACCTTAAAATATAGGGTGAGATGAGTAGTATTTATTGTAAAAAATCAAGTGTGGTATGTATGGTAGTCAGCCGGGCTACTATACCAGGCCAACCCACCTACACATAATATTCTATTACATTTAAGCATCCCAGAGCGATAAAATGTATATACAGTTCACTCATTACTTACCTTAAAATATTTATAGTCTTAATGTAGGGTCAGGAGTAAGTAAATGAGATAAAACGAATAAATGAGAGAGAGAAAGAATGAGTGCATGAGAGAGGACAGGCGCAGAGTTATGTAAACAAACCAGGCGAAGGTAAGTTTTGTAAACGAAGTGTACACGTCTGGTTTGTGTACAAGTTACATTGTGTACAGGTTGTCTCTACATTGATACGGTAGAATAAATAAAGAAGAACACTCCCATTCTCATGTAACATCATTTTGAGAAGAAATGATGCTCTGAGTGAAGGCAATGGAAATAAGTCACTCTGACTTTTTTGGGTTATCCTAGGTTCTCTACACATATGTTGTTATGTATGATAATCTATGTAACTGTATTTGTGTATACCTGAATAAACTTACATACATACGAAAGGAATAATTTTCTACAGTTACCCCCAGTAACACATTTTCTCTTATGTTAGATTAGAGAAAATGTTATTCTTGGCATCACTTCTACAAGTTATCTGGCTACCACATCTCATATTTATGTTTATTTATTCTATTGTAGGGTGTATTTATCATCTTTTTATGTTATGTATCGTGTTTATTATATAATTTTGAAAAAAATATCATGGATGGATTAATGAAAATGTGTATATTAACGTAATACAGGAAGGCCCCACTTATACGGCGGGTTAGGTTCCAGGCTACCGCCGTAAAGCGGAAATCGCCGTAAAGTGGAACACCCTTTTTTTCCACTATAAATGCATACAAACACTAGATAACAAGTTTACACTAACATATATTAAGTTAGCAATAGAACCAGGCATCAAAAAACAATAAAAAGGTACAATACACACATAGTGCACTCATTACTTACCTTAAATATTTATAGTCTTAATCTAGGTGAGACAAGTAGTATTTATTGTAAGAAATCAAGTGTGGTATGTATTGTAATAGCCAGGCTATTTCACCAGGCCACCCCCCCACAATACTATTCTATGATATTAAGCAATCCCAGAGCGATAAAATGTATATTACAGTTCACTCATTGACTTACCTTAAATATTTGTAGTCTTAATGTAGGTCAGGATAAGTAAATGAGATAAAACGAATAAATGAAGAGAGAGAAGAATGATACATGAGAGTGACAGGCAGGCACAGAGTAAACAAACCAGTCCCAACTTATATTTTATGTTTATTTATTCTATTGTGGGGTGTTTTATCATCTTTTTATGTATGTTCGTGTTTATTATATAATTTGAAAAAAAATATCATGGCTGGGATTAATGAAAATGTGTATATTACGTAATATACACATTTAATGAGACTCCGTGACTATTGTTATTATCACCACTGTGGAAGCTTGTCTGCTACCACAGATCACATTATGTTTATTTATTCTACTGTGGGGTGTATTTATCTTATTTATATGTTATGCATCGTGTTATTATATAAATTTTGAAAAAAATATCATGATGGATTAATGAAAATGTGTATAATACCGTAATATACGACATTTAATGAGACCAGTATTGTTATTATCACCACTTGTGCAAGTCGTCTGCTCACACTCACATTGTTTATTATTCTACTGTGGGGTATTTACTTATTAATGTTATGCATCGTGTTTATTATATAATTTGAAAAAAATATCATGATGGATTAATGAAAATGTGTATATTACCGTAATATACGACATTTAATGAGACTCCGTGACTATTGTTATTATGCGTCACTTGTGGAAGTCGTCTGCTACCACAGATCACATTATGTTTTATTTATTCTACTGTGGGTGTATTTATCTTATTTATATGTTATGCATCGTCGTTTATTATATAATTTTGAAAAAAATATCATGGATGGATTAATGAAAATGTGTATATTAACGTAATATACGACATTTAAATGACTCGATGTATGTAAGTTTATTTAGGTACAGGTATACATAAGTATAATTATCAGAGTATATATAAAATATGAAATAACTTTTAAAAACATTTGAAATTTTGGAGTTTCCAGACAAAATGGAGAGACTTAGTGCTTACTGAGCTCATGGAGAATGTTAACAAACAGGGTGGGGCACGGTGACCGTATTAGAAAGTCAGGTGGGGGGAGCCATATAGCGAGTTTTGGTCATAATTTGAAATGTCCGTATTAGCGGAACGCCGTAAAGTGAAACGCCGTAAAGCGGGGCCTTCCTGTATACAACATTTAATGACTCGGTGATTATTATTATTATTATTAGCATTTCTAACATGGCGTCACTTGTGCAAGTCGTCTGCTACCACATCTCATATTTATGTTTATTTATTATATTGTGGGGTGTATTTATCATCTTTTTATGTTATGTATCGTGTTTATTATATAATTTTGAAAAATATCATAGATGGATTAATGAAAATGTGTATTTAACGTAATATACGACATTTAAATGAGACTCGATGATTATTATTATCATTACTAATATGACATCTGGAGACATAAGACACTCTTACTGATTTTAATGTGTACCTGCACGCCAGCACAGTATGTAAGTTTATTTAAGTACAGGTATACATAAGTATAATTATCAGAGTATATATAAAATATGAAAAAACTTTTAAAAACATTTGAAATTTTGGAGTTTCCAGACAAAATGGAGAGACTTAGTGCTTACTGAGCTCACGAAGAATGTAAACAAACAAGGTGGGGCGCGGTGACCGTATTAGAAAGTCAGGTGGGGGGAGCCGTATTGCGAGTTTTGGTCATAATTTGAAATGACCGTATTAGCGGAACGCCGTAAAGTGAAACGCCGTAAAGCGGGGCCCTGCTGTATACCCAAAATGCTCTGCATATAAAGGGGCTTTTGTCATGTTCACCAAATTGTTACACTCCTTTGTACAAACATGTATCATGCTAAAATAAATTTTTTATTGTTATTTAAGGAAGGTGCCTTAATACTGTTGAAGGGCTCTTGATCCAAGTAACTGGGGTAATCCCTCTACTTCCTCAGATCAAATCTGCCTACCTCCACCCAGATTAAGATTTTATATGCCCCTGGGCTACAGGCACTGTGAGGCCCCCAGTGATATTTTTGAAAAGGAATAAAAGTTAAAGAAATATTAAATTTACATTTACAAGGCTAACCACAATTAAAATTCAAACATTTGCTTTGCGTAATTTCTTGGAAACAAATTTCTCCAAAACATCAGTAAACTGTAAGTTGTTGAGAATATCTCTGGAGGCCCTCCAGCTGGCAGAGGCCCCTGGACTGCAGACCCTAAAGCCCATGCCTTAATGTGGCACTGCCTCCACCCCTTCTATTCTCCAGGTACTGTATGACCATTATGGGTTTAGCTCGTCTCCATGTATTTAATAATAACATGCTTCACACTATACACAATATTCCATAAAAAGTATAATCATGGGTTTAATGGGTGACACAACACTGATTTTTAAGATTTTTTCAATATCATTCTTACCTCTCTGGCCATAACCTGGCTGACCTGGTGGTCCTGGTGGTCCTGGATCGCCAGGAAGACCATGACCAGGTGACCCAGTAGATCCGCGTGGTCCTTGGGGTCCTTCCATGGATACGCCTGGTATGCCAGGAGTTCCCTAAAACCATGAATACCATGAACTGTCTGAATTTTGTAGCATATGCCATGCAGTTTATGCAAACTCATTCTTTTGTGTCTAGACTTTCATGCATGATAAATTTGTTATGCAAGACTACTTTGAGGTCCTCCTTGGCCTTTGGGAGTGATAAACAATATAATGCACTGTAATTCAATCAGCATTTACAGCTTTACTCTCTCACCGGTGGACCTGGAGGTCCAGGCGGTCCAGGTACTGGGATGAACATCAGATTGTCATTTGTTTGAGAGCTTCCAGGTGGCCCAGGGGGTCCTGGAGGTCCAGGTGATCCAACTGGACCTGGGGGACCTGGTGGTCCAGGTAGGGCCACTGACACAGGGCCACCAGCAGATGGTGTGCCAGCAATGTCAGAGCTACTGCTGCCCTGGAAAGCAAGGGAAAATTTTACATTATTATATTCTTGGGAAAGCACTAAACCTCTAAGGTCACAGACAGTTTGGGTAATGGGAGGTAATTAGTTTAAATCCAGGGATGGAAAGGGCAGTTCTAATGTCTTGAATCAAAAATCCTTTGCCTCTTCCTCACTGATGTCACTTTCATCTTTGACATGAAACACTGAATCACCTCAAGAGAGGTTCTTGACTCTAGTGAGGAACTTCTGATCTAAGGAATTGGACCTGTGTTCCAATTCCTTGAATCAAGCCTAAATGCCTTTCATTCCCCCAGGTGCTGTATGACCCCCTAAGGGTTTACAGCTGGTTTGTTCAAAAAAAATAATAATGATAATGCGGTGAAAAGAAGGCTAGAGGCAGCAGAGATGTTATGTGAATTTGTTTCCATTATTTCTACTATCAGGCACTCCTTTGTCACTTTAATATAGCAATATTAGTATAAAAAACTAAACACAAGTTTCTTCTGACACTTAAATAAAAGTGCAGTTACCAACTGACATAATGCAGGTGTTCTTCATTTTATGTTACTGATTCATTCCAGGCCCACAGGAGCTGTACCAAACTAAAACAAGCCATAAACAATTAATTTCACATAATATGACTCTTCAATATATCATGCAAGTGGCACTGATCCCAAACAGTGAATGAATATTGCATATCCAGAATTGCTAATAGAACTAGGACATTCTGTAATAAAAATTTTACATAAAGGGAATCTGCATACAGCAATGAGTAACTTGTATTCACAATTACAGATATAAATATTGTACAGGATTCCCCTCATGGGTAGAATGAAAGGGGGCAAGGCAGCAGGGATTGATAGGATTTAGTTTTGGAGTGGTTGGTGCTATTATTTAATAAATGTAAGGAAGAGGGTAAGGTACCTAGGAATTGGCTGAGAGCTTGCATAGTTCCTGTGTATAACGGCAAAGGAGACAAAAGAGAGTGCAGAAATTATAGGGAATAAGTCTGTTGAGTATACCTGGTAAAGTGTATGGTAGAGTTATTATTGAAAGAATTAAGAATTAAGAGAGTAGAATAGCAGATGAACAAGGAGGCTTTAGGAAAGGTAGGGGGTGTGTAGACCAAGTGTTTACAGTGAAACATATAGATGAACAGTATTTAGATAAGTGTAAAGAGGTTTTTGTGGCATTTATGGATTTGGAAAAGGCATATGACAGGGTGGATTGGGGAGCAATGTGGCAGATGTTGCAAATGTATGGAATAGGAGGTAGGTTACTGAAAGCAGTGAAGAGTTTTTATGAGGATAGTGAGGCTCAGGTTAGAGTATGTAGGAGAGAGGGAGTTTAGTTCCGAGTAAAAGTAGGCCTTAGACAAGGATGTGTGATGTCACCATGGTTGTTCAATATATTTATAGATGGGGTTGTAAGAAAAGTGAATGCTTGGATGTTGGCAAGAGGTGTGGGGTTAAAAGATAAAGAATCTAACATAAGTGGGAGTTGTCACAGTTGCTCTTTGCTGATGACACTGTACTTTTGGGAGATTCCGAAGAGAAGTTGCAGAGGTTGGTGGATGAGTTTGGTAGGTATGTAAAAGAAGAAAAAAGCGAATATATGAAAGAGTAAGATGATGAGGATAACAAAAAAAATAGGTGACGAAAGATTGGATATCAGGGTGGAGGGAGAGAGTACAGAGGAGGTGAATGTATTCAGATATTTGGAAGTGGATGTGTCAGCAGATGGGTCTATGAAAGATGAGATGAATCACAGAATTGATGAGGGGAAAAAGGTGAGTGGTGCACCTAGGAGTCTGTGGATACAATGGAAGCAAAGAGGGGAATGTATGAGAGTATAGTTATACCAGTGCTCTTATATGGCTTTGAAACATGGGTGGTGAATGTTGCAACAAGGAGAAGGCTGGAGGCAGTGGAGATGTCATGTCTGAGAGCAGTGTATGGTGTAAATATAATGCAGAGAATTCGTAGTAATTAGGAGGAGGTGTCGGATTACCAAAACTATTATCCAGAGTGCTGAGGAGGGGTTGTTGAGGTGGTTTGGACATGTAGAGAGGGTGGAACAAAACAGAATGACTTTGAGAGTGTATAAATCTGTAGTGGAGGGAAGGTGGGGTAGGGGTCAGTCTAGGAAAGGTTGGAGGGATGGGGTAAAGGAGGTTTAGTGGGGGAGGGGCTTGGACTTTCAATAAGCATGCGTGAGCGTGTTAGATAGGAGAGAATGAAGACAAATGGTTTTCAGGACCTGAAGTGTTGTTGGAGTGAGGAAGGTAACATTTATGAAGGGATTCAGGGAAACCTGCAGGCCAGACTTGAGTCCTAGAGATGGGAAGTACAGTGTCTACACTCTGAAGGAGGGGTGTTAATGTTGCAGTTTTATAACTGTAGTGGCAAGACAGTGATAGAATGAATGATGATAAAAGTTTTTTTTTTTCGAGCCACCCTGCCTTGGTGGGAGACGGCTGATGTGTTAATAAAATAAAAAATAATAATAATAATAATCTTTATTTCTACAAGTACACATACAAGGTATACAGGCCTAGATGACATCAATGACATACTACTATATAGAAAGTCCCTTGTTATGCAGAGCACTTCAGGCAAATTAAGTCAATTTTGTCCCCAGGATGTGACCCACACCAGTCGACTAACACCCAGGTACCCATTTTACTGATGGGTTAACAATGGCCAGCAAGTATCTTAAGGAAACATCCTAATGTTTCCATCTGTACTGAGAATCAATCCCCAGACCACAGTGTGTGTGAGCTGAGTGCGCTAGCATTTGAGCTACGGAATTCCCTTTATGAAATTTACTGTTATGTAATCTCCCATTTCTATTGGAAATTCCGTATATGTATGTATATGCAATATACAATTGGTGTGGTCTGCAACGTGTATTGAAGTTTTCCAGTTTAGTATTTTTGCCATGTGCCTGAAGGCATTCATAGAAAATATTCATGATGACACTTACCAAAATTCCATTTAAAAAGCTGCCACTTGGAGGTCCAGGGGGTCCAGGAGGTCCAGGTTCTCCTTTCTGGCCAATTCCTGGGGATCCTGGAGGTCCTGGTTTACCCGGGGAGCCTGGGGCGCCCTTTAATACATAAGATTCATGGTATTTTGAAGAACAGTGAAAAAACTAGGAATTATGCATCCACATATATAAATAAAAGGGGCTAGCTGCCAACAGAAAAACAAAGAGTGGTTAATGTATTATTTTATAATATTGAATATACATATGTAAGTAGTAGTAGGTTGGTAGACAGCAACCACCCAGGGAAGTACTACCGTCCTGCCAGATGACTGTGAAACAAAAACCTGTAACTGTTTTGCATGATGGTAGGATTGCTGGTTTCTTTTTCTGTCTCATAAACACGCTAAGATAACAGGGATATCACACCGGTGTGATAATAAAAAAAAAAAAAAAACATATGTAAAATATACTTTTTTTTTATTATTTATTATCACACTGGCCGATTCCCACCAAGGCAGGGTGGCCCGAAAAAGAAAAACTTTCACCATCATTCACTCCATCACTGTCTTGCCAGAAGGGTGCTTTACACTACAGTTTTTAAACTGCAACATTAACACCCCTCCTTCAGAGTGCAGGCACTGTACTTCCCATCTCCAGGACTCAAGTCCGGCCTGCCGGTTTCCCTGAACCCCTTCATAAATGTTACTTTGCTCACACTCCAACAGCACGTCAAGTATTAAAAACCATTTCGTCTCCATTCACTCCTATCAAACACGCTCATGCATGCCTGCTGGAAGTCCAAGCCCCTCGCACACAAAACCTCCTTTACCCCCTCCCTCCAACCTTTCCTAGGCCGACCCCTACCCCGCCTTCCTTCCACTACAGACTGATACACTCTTGAAGTCATTCTGTTTCGCTCCATTCTCTCTGCATGTCCGAACCACCTCAACAACCCTTCCTCAGCCCTCTGGACAACAGTTTTGGTAATCCCGCACCTCCTCCTAACTTCCAAACTACGAATTCTCTGCATTATATTCACACCACACATTGCTCTCAGACATGACATCTCCACTGCCTCCAGCCTTCTCCTCGCTGCAACATTCATCACCCATGCTTCACACCCATATAAGAGCGTTGGCAAAACTATACTCTCATACATTCCCCTCTTTGCCTCCAAAGACAAAGTTCTTTGTCTCCACAGACTCCTAAGTGCACCACTCACTCTTTTCCCCTCATCAATTCTATGATTCACCTCATCTTTCATAGACCCATCCGCTGACACGTCCCACTCCCAAATATCTGAATACGTTCACCTCCTCCATACCTCTCCCTCCAATCTGATATTCAATCTTCATCACCTAATCTTTTTATCCTCATAACCTTACTCTTTCCTGTATTCACCTTTAATTTTCTTCTTTTGCACACCCTACCAAATTCATCCACCAATCTCTGCAACTTCTCTTCAGAATCTCCCAAGAGCACAGTGTCATCAGCAAAGAGCAGCTGTGACAACTCCCACTTTGTGTGTGATTCTTTATCTTTTAACTCCACGCCTCTTGCCAAGACCCTCGCATTTACTTCTCTTACAACCCCATCTATAAATATATTAAACAACCACGGTGACATCACACATCCTTGTCTAAGGCCTACTTTTACTGGGAAATAATTTCCCTCTTTCCTACATACTCTAACTTGAGCCTCACTATCCTCGTAAAAACTCTTCACTGCTTTCAGTAACCTACCTCCTACACCATACACTTGCAACATCTGCCAATAATATACTTCTGCCCTGATATATTAGAAATACAGCTCAATAGTATCATTATTATTACAAACTGATACTTATACTAAACAGTAAAAGAGAAAACAATGACTGAGTCAAATACACATTTTGAGGTAGCAACACTGTGTCAGTATTAAAGACCGTGATGTGATAAATACTTACAATTTCCGTCACATTCTGAGGAGCAGCATAAAGACAACGATATTGCCCTTAATTATAGTTTTACTACTGACACTTCTCATCTTAAATCTCGAGCATCTTATAACTATAAGTATACAGTGGACCCCCGCTTAACGATCACCTCCCAATGCGACCAATTATGTAAGTGTATTTATGTAAGTGCGTTTGTATGTGTATGTTTGGGGGTCTGAAATGGACTAATCTACTTCACAATATTCCTTATGGGAACAAATTCGGTCAGTACTGGCACCTGAACATACTTCCAGAATGAAAAAATATCGTTAACCGGGGGTCCACTGTATAATGAAAAAAATATTCTCTAAACTCTCCAAATAAAAAAAATTCCAATAAATTTAACTTTCACAAATGAATGATTTCCCATATATAAAAACTTTACATAAAAAGAACATAGTTGGGAAAACATCAAAATGATTGTAATATAATCATGATTTCCATTAATTGCAATAGACTAAATGAACATGCTATCAGTTAGTATATAGAACTATGAAATTATGCTGAGAAGAAAGTTAGATATTTAATACTGTATGGAGTTTGCAAACTTATGCTAAGGCAAATGTCTTAGTAAATGAAAGTGCAGTAGCAGACAGCAAGTTCTTTCAATACCATGTAATCACTTATTGTATAAAAGTTGCATATTAATGCTCTCTTTGTGCATCTAGCCATTCACTAGCAATTCATCCATTTGTTAATTTTGTTTTTCATTTATTATATACTTTAGGGCCTGGCACAGGGGTCCTCTAGTCAGCACTTACCGGCCATCCTGGGAGACCAAGATCCCCAAGGGACCCTGCTGGGCCAGGGGGGCCCTGCTTGCCTCGCTTGCCTCTTCTCCCACGGTCGCCTTTATCACCCTGCAATATGTTAGTACCGGTGAGTCTTGAAGCCCGGATACTGCAAGCTGACAAGCTCAACCTCACCTTCGTCACACTTGACCACTGGGAGTTACTCATACTGAGGTGACTGCTTTTCTCAGAAAATGTCGTGGCATTTACAAGGAGTCATCAAACTCCTAGGCTTCATGAATTTGATGTTGATATCACATATCGATTTCAGTTTTAATAAGCCATTAAAATCTGTGTTGATTTATTAATATATTTTTGTCTTATTTTTTTATAACTTACTACATAACATTTTCTCATGTACAGAGGTATCTCTTCAAGTCAGTATGCATTTTTATTATGAAACCTCTTTTGAAAAGCATCACCCCTTCAAGTGGTTGACTCTCTCTTGTGAGTTCTGGTGCAGTGTGGTGTGTACCACCAGTTCTCCCACACGTGGAACAGTCTACCAGGTCATGTTAGTGGCAGGTTATGATGCATCAACTACTACAGGCTGGCCAAGGAAGATTTGTAAGTTAGCAAGAATCAAGCAAGTCCCTGATTGTCATAAAATGTGGATTCAAGTTCTCCTGTGCTTAAGTGTTATAATGGTAATAGTTTTAATTTTCAACACTTGTTCTCTTCAGTGTATGCAAGTAGGGTAATGGAATAATTAATACTGCAAGTTCAATATGTTTTTGATGATGTATATAACAGAAATATTATTACACTGTACACATTTGAGTCTAGGTAGATATATCATAGTTTCTTTATAAGAGTGAGGCAAATCACACTCATTATTTACTATTATATTCTGCTTATCTTGTGAGTACAAGAAAAAATGCATTAATTCTGAATACAGTTAAGTGCATTATGCTGATTCAAATACTAAAGTAATGGCATCAAAGCTACTACCAAATGCAATTGACTTCACAGCTTTTTCAGGAGCCATGATCAGAGTGAATAAGTACCAGCACACATATGTAACAAAGAGGACTGAAAGACAAAAGTATGTGGCAAGAATGTATAGGATTAAAGAGCTCAAAGAAAGGTGAAGAGATGATATGGTATAAACATGCCAAGAGCTGGCTCATGAGGAACAATACTATCCTAACAGAGAACATGTTTTACTGAAATGCATTGTAAACTAGTGGTTTTTTGTGCCTACCAATGTTTTATTTCATGTAAACTATATTGTTTGGCCCCACATTAAGAAATAAAAATTTATATTTTTACTTTATAGGTAGTTCTGATAGTTGAATGGGTGGTTTCTATGGTCAGTTAGAAGGCATACTAGTGAAGTAGCTAAGAACTGAGCAATGAAATTGGCTTAAAACATGACTCAAAGTGGGCAAAATTCACTGATGCATAAACTGTACCCAGACTGCCAAATTTGTGCCTGCATTCTGTAAGTTTTCCAACAAATTTCATATTTTTCGTGTTATTACCTTGAGAAAAAGATTCTTTACCCTTTCAGAAGAAAAAATAATTCTCTCTCTTCTATATACATCTTAGTCCACATACATACAAACTTACTATAACTCACTTCTTGCATCCCACCTTTATTCTAACCCACAAAATTCTTGAATTTATATATTTATAATCCCTCTTGTCTCCCATAATTGATCATTTAATATTACTGCTACTCCTTCCTTAGGTCTGATTCTCTCTGATACACACTAAACTCATCTAAAGAACATTCAAACCTGCACTCAACTATAGACACATATACTAAACAAATAAATTCCCTCACCACCAAGCTGTCAGAACCTACACAAGATTGGAAGTAAAAGATGGAATCCCAGTGGAATACATGCTTCCAGTATCAAAGGGATATGACTGAACAAGACAAGCTCCTAGACTCTGTTATTTTAACCAGCTCAACGACAGCCAACCACCTTAGACCCTTAATAACCCAACAAAAAGCTGCTTTACGGGTGATAACCAGCTCCTGTGCTAGACAGCACACCCCACCACTTTTCAAAAGACTCAACTTGCTAAATATACAAGACATACACTCATATTATTGTGCATACTACATATACAGAACATTAAACTCCACTGTAAACCCTACCCTAAAGCTACTCCTTGACAGTTACAACAGAATGCACAGTCACAATACAAGGCATAAGGCACTTTTCAACATCCCTTGAGTCAGTTTCTCACTATGCAAGAATGCTATGCACATAAAGGGCCTAAAGATCTGGAACAGCTGAAGGATCCCCTGACAACTTATAAATTTCGGACTTTGCTAAAAAATCATCTTATCTCTCAATATTAACCAAATCAACCAAAACATCTGCTAATTGGTTTTATGTGACCTCTAGGCTTGTAATTCTGCCAATCCATAAAATATTACCACGTGAGCCATTACTTGTAATGGTTCAGGTGGTAATATTGAAATTGCACACAAAATCTACATTACTGGTAATGTAGATTTTGTGTGCAATTTCAAGATTATTTTACCGAACCCTACTCCACGTTACTACCTTACATTTGTATTAAGTTTAAATAAGATTGCAAAACAGTTAACTACTATTTCTTGTCTAGTTTTAAGTATAGTACTATGTACTTATTATCTTGTCTAGTTTTAATTAGTTACTATGTTTTAGGATAAGATAAGATAAGATAAGATTTCGTTCAGATTTTTAACCCCGGAGGGTTAGCCACCCAGGATAACCCAAGAAAGTCAGTACGTCATCGAGGACTGTCTAACTTATTTCCATTGGGGTACTTAATCTTGTCCCCCAGGATGCGACCCACACCAATCGACTAACACCCAGGTACCGATTTGCTGCTAGGTGAACAGGACAACAGGTGTAAGGAAATGTGTCGAAATGTTTCCACTCGCTGGGAATCGAACCCGGGGCTTCCGTGTGTGAAGCGGGAGCTTTATCCACCAGGCCACCGGATTAGTCTGCCCAAAATGCCCCATCATGATAGTGGCTATCTTTGTACTTAGCGAATCAAGATGATTATGGATGTTATGAATGAGAAGAAACTGGATGTCCTGGCTTTAAGTGAAACAAAGCTGAAGGGGGTGGGAGAGTTTCAATGGAGAGGAATAAATGGGATTAGGTCAGGGGTTTCAAATAGAGTTAGAGCTAAAGAAGGAGTAGCAATAATGTTGAAGGATAAGCTATGGCAGAAAAAGAGGGACTACAAATGTATAAATTCAAGGATTATGTGGAGTAAAATAAAGATTGGATGTGAAAAGTGGGTTATAGTAAGCGTGTATGCACCTGGAGAAGAGAGAAGTGTAGAGGAGAGAGAGAGATTCTGGGAAATGTTGAGTGAATGCGTGGGGAGTTTTGAATCAAGTGTGAGAGTAATGGTGGTTGGGGATTTCAATGCTAAAGTGGGTAAAAATGTTATGGAGGGAGTAGTAGGTAAATTTGGGGTGCCAGGGGTAAATGTAAATGGGGAGCCTTTAACTGAGCTATGTGTAGAAAGAAATTTGGTAATAAGTAATACATATTTTATGAAAAAGAGGATAAATAAATATACAAGGTATGATGTAGCACGTAATGAAAGTAGTTTGTTAGATTATGTATTGGTGGATAAAAGGATGATGGGTAGGCTCCAGGATGTACATGTTTATAGAGAGGCAACTGATATATTGGATCATTATTTAGTTGTAGCTACAGTTAGAGTAAGAGGTAGATGGGAAAAGAGGAAGGTGGCAACAACAAGTAAGAGGGAGGTGAAAGTGTATAAACTAAGGGAGGAGGAAGTTCGGGTGAGATATAAGCGACTATTGGCAGAAAGGTGGGCTAGTGCAAAGATGAGTAGTGGGGAGGTTGAAGAGGGTTGGAATAGTTTTAAAAATGCAGTGTTAGAATGTGGGGCAGAAGTTTGTGGTTATAGGAGGGTGGGGGCAGGAGGAAAGAGGAGTGATTGGTGGAATGATGAAGTAAAGGGTGTGATAAAAGAGAAAAAGGTAGCTTACGAGAGGTTTTTACAAAGCAAAAGTGTTATAAGAAGAGCAGAGTATATGGAGAGTAAAAGAAAGGTGAAGAGAGTGGTGAGAGAGTTCAAAAGGAGAGCAGATGAAAGAGTGGGAGAGGCACTGTCAAGAAATTTTAATGAAAATAAGAAAAAATTTTGGAGTGAGTAAAACAAGTTAAGAAAGCCTAGGGAAAGTATGGATTTGTCAGTTAAAAACAGAGTAGGGGAGTTAGTAGATGGGAGAGGGAGGTATTAGGTAGATGGCGAGAATATTTTGAGGAACTTTTAAATGTTGAGGAAGAAAGGGAGGCGGTAATTTCATGCACTGGCCAGGGAGGTATACCATCTTTTAGGAGTGAAGAAGAGCAGAATGTAAGTGTGGTGGAGGTACGTGAGGCATTACGTAGAATGAAAGGGGGTAAAGCAGCTGGAACTGATGGGATCATGACAGAAATGTTAAAAGCAGGGGGGATATAGTGTTAGAGTGGTTGGTACTTTTGTTTAATAAATGTATGAAAGAGGGGAAGGTACCTAAGGATTGGCGGAGAGAACATGTATAGTCCCTTTATATAAAGGGAAAGGGGACAAAAGAGATTGTAAAAATTATAGAGGAATAAGTTTACTGAGTATACCAGGAAAAGTATACGGTAGGGTTATAATTGAAAGAATTAGAGGTAAGACAGAATGTAGAATTGCGGATGAGCAAGGAGGCTTCAGAGTGGGTAGGGGATGTGTAGATCAAGTGTTTACATTGAAGCATATATGTGAACAGTATTTAGATAAAGGTAGGGAAGTTTTTTATTGCATTTATGGATTTAGAAAAGGCATATGATAGAGTGGATAGAGGAGCAATGTGGCAGATGTTGCAAGTATATGGAATAGGTGGTAAGTTACTAAATGCTGTAAAGAGCTTTTATGAGGATAGTGAGGCTCAGGTTAGGGTGTGTAGAAGAGAGGGAGAATACTTCCCGGTAAAAGTAGGTCTTAGACAGGGATGTGTAATGTCACCATGGTTGTTTAATATATTTATAGATGGGTTGTAAAAGAAGTAAATGCTAGGGTGTTCGGGAGAGGGGTGGGATTAA